TCGTGACATAGTCTAGAGCTCTATTTGGCCCTAATAACTCGGACCAAGTCTTTCCACGCCTCTTTCCGCCTTCCAACATTAGGGTTCGAATAGAGTTTAGCAGTTTAGAGTATTGATTTGGATTAGATTAGTGTTAGTTGATATCCGTAGCGCCGATTTTCCCCAAGTCCGACCAAGCCCACACTTTTTCAACGTACAGTACATAGGAGTACAATTCAATGTGAAACTAGGGACCAGCTCTAGAGCATGCATTTAGGGAGAGTTGCAGTTAGAGAGTACTAATAAGAGCATGACGTAACTATTATCATGTATAGATAGTAAAAAATACGATTGTCGCACGCCATGATCTGTTAAAAAGAATTTGATTCTTCATAAATTATTGATTTCGACATTTAAGAATCACCTATTTTTAGCGTCGTTAATCCTATCACTAGGCATTGGTAGCTAGAAATAATAAATTTGATTGGCTAGTAACAACGTGAATGCAATTATGGAGAGTTTTTTTATAAATAGGGAACTTGCATTTATCTATAGTTCCATTATGGGACTAGCTTCATAATGCATCTAGAGAGGCACTGCATTTTTAGGGGGGACTGCACTTAGGGTCTGACTGTATTAAAGTAGCACGTAGAAATGCGAATTAAGACAGAAATGTGTGAAATAGTACGTACGGTTTTAAAAGAAAATTTCTTTCGAGCCAAAGTTATTTTCCCCTATAATCTCATCTAACATCAACACGAAAAACAATAGTTTTTCTCAATCTCTAACCATTAAAAGTAGATCGAATTTTATAGATCTGTTAACCGTGGGTGCCATCAAGAATTTAACATAATTTTTGTACATCCATCTGAATCTGCTGTACTATTTTATTGAATACCTTTAAAAGAAGCGATTATTTATGCGTTGATTTTATTATTGCTTATTTGTTATTTGGCGTTTCCCTTTTTCTCATAATAAAAAAATAAAAGTTGTATATAAAGTATATAACAAAAACAGTCAAGAATATTCAATATATAGATTTTTATTTATGAAATAAATGGCAAATTTCTTTTCTCACCTGTATTTCGTCATAAGAATGTTTCTAAAAAAAATTTTTTTATGTTTTATCATATTTATAATTTTATTGGGATATATATGTTGGAATAATAATTTCAGCCCAGAATTGGTACCTTTTTCAAATAAGGTAACGTATGCCTATAATGTTTTTTTCTTCAACCAAATAAATATGTATAATAAAAATTTATATACATGTGTAGATTTTAAATGATTCCAATATTACAATTGGAACTGAAGGTTATGGGAAATTTCATGCATTAAATGAGCATAAATGCAACTTTCTTTTTGTATATGATTATCCAGTATCGGAAGGATTAGCTATCCAACATATGCAATCATTTATTCAACTTGCACAAGCCTTAGATCGAATCTTTGTCTTGCCAAATGTTGGTAAATCACGTATTGGATCATGCAATAAATATCCTTTCAATATTTATTATTCCATAGATATTCTTAAACAACAATACAAAAGTGATGTTCATCACTCAACAAGAATTTTATGAATGGACAAGATCACTTGATTTTGCACTAACAACTCATCATGCATACATCGAAGAAGATGACTCTAATTCTTTTGTGGAGGCAATCAATCCAGTTCTTAAGTCATTTATAGACAAAAATTGCTTTAAAGAGTTCTTCAAAAAAAACAAATAAAGCATAATTTCCCAAAAATTTCACACGAAAAAAGGATTCTGGAAGCTTGAAAAGACTCGAGAAAATTTTACAAGAATTCTGATCGACAAGCTAAATATAGAAACACAATTAATACTGATGAGTTATAATACGCGGGAGACATTTTCTTCAAATGTAATACCCTATTCAATATATTCACAAGATATTTTATTAGAAGCGAATACAATCGTTGATAAATTGAAACCATTTGTTGCAATACATTTGAATGTGGAATTTACTGATCAAAATCGGTTAAATCCATGCACCAAACTTATTATTGAAACTTTAATGAATTTTGGACGAGATTTTGGAATTCAAAATATTTATTTCACTACAAATAAACCACTTTTCAACGGATCATTTATATTTGATGTTTTGATTGAATACCAAAGTGAAATGATGGAAACATTAACTCAACCCATGTCATTCAATACTTGGAATTCAATGAATTCATTTAATATTAAAGATTTTGAAAAGTTAGGAATAAGAAGTTTCGAAAATTCCGACTATGTTATGGATATTAACGGTTTCGAAATTTTTGATCACATTGCAGATGTTAAAGAATTTGAAGGAACAGGTATTCATGAAATATTAGATAAATTGGTATCTATTAATGCAGAATATTTCCTAGCAGATCTTGCAGAATGTTCATCAGTAACGGACAGCTTTAAAAGTCAAGTTATAAAAACAAGAGAGATCATGATTAATAAAGGAAATAAAAAACTAAAAAAGCGCTATTTTTAAAAATTAGGAGCGTGAAAAAATTATAGGCATTTTTTAATAGTTTATAATTTCAAAGTTAGTGAAAATAAATTATTAATTTTACAACTGTAATAATATACCAAAAATTAATAAAAAAGTTCGTATTTTATTTTAAATATGAACAAAGTTCTAATTTAGCAAAATAACTATGGATATTGTTATTGATTTGAGCATAAAGATAAAATTTTTTAATATAATATCTCAGAGTGTGTTTTGTTGTGCCACGAATGTCAATTTGTATCAGGCTACGACCAAGGCATCTCAGATAATAACTATTTGACTGGCATTAACTAATCTGCATGATTGGTTAAACTATACCTTCAATATAAATATACTTATCAAATTAAATCAAATTGATTGTAATTAACATTATATTAAATACTATTAACCTTACAAACCTGATTCTGTCAATTCTGATAAAAATCAATCTACCAAGTCCGTTTTCATTAAATAAATCTAATAATTTTGTAGTGTTTCAAATTTGATAACCTCTTAAAAATCTGTCCATCGTTAATAACGGTTTTGAGAGGTTCAACAGTACTAGAAATTTGTTGGGTGGCGATTTTACCTTTGTAAGTTCTTGTAAACATGAATACACTTATTAAATGAATATAAATATGAATGAAATAAAATTATTATCGTAATTAATACACATCACTCTGATTATATCGACATTTTTGAGATGTTAATAAAAAAATTTTAAAATATTGATACAATGAGTTATACCGACATTTTATATTAAAATTTGAGAAAATGTAGTATAGAAAGATTTTTACTATATGTCCAGATGTCTGTATATCCATAACTATTATTGTTTATTTTTGGTAATCACTTTTACTAAAACGCACCTATGGTGTTTTTACACCATAGGTTCCGTTTCTCAAAAACGTACTAAGTAAACAGGATCGGGTCCTTAAGTAAAAATGTTCAGGGCCCAAAAACCTCATAAGAACTGAGATCGGGCCCTATCGGGCCTTTATATTAGCTCTATAAAATATTATATAAAAAAATAATAATTCTTAATTTTATTAAACGAAATTATACATAGGTGCTAAAACACCATAGGTGCATTTTATAATAATTGTTGGTAATTGAATAGTACTGTGTTTTATTTTTAGCAATTCAAAATAATTTTTTTGCTATAAAAACAAAACAATTGACAAGATTTTGAGATTAACCATAGCTGCCACAGATTCTCGATTTTGATTGGCTGTACTATGTAACGATCCTTATTTCTTCCAGTAATTGAACCATCGTTTTTAACCCACTAAAAAATCGGTACATCGTTATTAATTTATTAAAAAAAAAACATTGTTGCATTGCGACATAGTATTGTAGCATAATATCACACGTCATATGAGCCTTTTGATTAATACTTCGGCTTTCTCAATTAACTTTTTGCTTTGCAAGTTAGTCGTTTGTTTCGTCTTATGTTTTTTCTCCATTGAACAATGTAAACAACTTTTCGTATTCAACTTTTCATTATTATCTAAGTAAATAATTTTCCCGAAACAAGCTTTTACAAACTCTTGTCTTTTCAATCAGTTTGTTTCTCAGATTTTCTAGTGCATATCGTTTAGTAGCTTTAGATGAAAATGACTCTATTTTAACCTATTTATAGTCGAAACTATTATATTATTTATTTAGACTTGCCCTTTTTATACAGTAGAATTAGTTTGCAGCTCCTACAGTAATTGCCGCAGTTCTTCGTTTCCGAATTGAATTGAATTATCTTAATTTTTTCAACTTCAACTTATTCTGGAAAACCCATGGATGCGTTATTAAAAACGGCATACAAAATTCAATAACGATGGATCAAATTTTTTTAATGGGTCAATAATGATGACCCAAATGTGTCAATATCAATGTTTTACCTAATATTATACCTGTAAAATTAAAATAAAAAAATTCTTATTAATATTGATTAGGTAGTTGAGAACGAATCGTCATATGTTGGTTACATAGTACAGCCAATCAAAATCGGCAGTGTTTCTACACACACGTGACTTCCTTGTTATCAATGACCCAAGATCATGTACGAATCGGTTTTTAAATTTATTTGCCGACATTAGGATTAAGGATTGATACAATAATGACGACATTTGATTAATAATAATAAGAATTACGCTCGTAAAATGGTCTTGTCGAATTATAAAACCCATTATTGCATTTCAAAGTAATCAAAAAACATGCCATGAGTGTTCAACCCGTATAAATGAAAGCCGAAAACGAAAACGTGAAGACCAAATTTTAAATGATATTTGTAAGGAAAAAGAAAATGCCATAAAATTCGAAGAGATCAAACATATAATTTATAGTTTATGAAAAGCTTATGGATATTGAAGGAGAAAGAAATATACATATAGTTGTAGATATTTCTCGAATGTTTAATGAATTGGAATTAAATGACGCAGAGGAAGTTTTTGCAAGTTCATTAGCACTTGAGATCGTAAAGTTCTGTGAAACGGGGATGGCTATTCACCTGGTTATCATAAAAAATTATGATAATAAACAAATCAAGACTACTTCATTTACCTATTTGTGTAATTGTCGCTGTGAATAGAGCTGGGATCTTTTGAATATCCATGATGGCTATTAAATATTCATGGTTTTTGAACATTCACGAGTAATATTGAACGAATATCTGATTTTGCATGGATACACAAAATGATCAAATAGATTAGATTATTCACGACGACTATACACGAACTTCATGTAATTAATATTTATTGAATATTTACGAATTTATGCACAAGAACATTCGTTTTTAAATTTAATAATCACTTTTAATCGTGGTTATTCACGGATCCTATCTATAGCTGTGACTCGAAAAAAGAATGAAAAAAACGATGATGAAAGTAAACAACACAATAGAGAACTAAGAATCGAATATTATGACTGAGAAGAAACCATTATTGAGGAATCGAGTACTGAATATAGTGAATCTAAATCTAAAATTTTAAGAAAGCACAAAAAACTCTTCATAAGGTATAAATTAGAGTTGGGTAACGAAACCCGAAACTATATATAAAATCCCGAAACCTTTTCCGAAACTCTATACTATACTAAAAGGGTTAGAATTTTAATTTTAGACTTTAAGACATAAAGTACATGATAATTCGATTGCATTTCAGAAATGTTTTGGTTACTTTATAGTAAATGTGCATTAGTTATTAACATTCTAATTTTAAGGTTTCGGTGCCCAACTCTAGTATAAATATATATATATATTGTTATTATCATTATGTTTTCATGTTTATATAAATATGTTTTATGTTTTTACGCTTGATTGTTTTGAAAATCTAATAATCTTTCCAAACAAAGTAAATGGGTTCGAAGCATTGAATCGAACTTTAAACCTATCCAAAAAATGGTGGATGACATTTAAGATTTCGAATAAGCAAAACACTTCCAAAACTTGGAGTGATCATACAAAAATACATTTACTGGTAGCATTTAAAGTTTTATACGTGTATTAAAAAAAATTAAATTTGAATATAAATGCATTTAAATGTTTGAATTGAATGTAATTCGACTTAGAGTTTGCAGTGGTAATTAAATAAATTCCACTAAATTTGAATAAAAAAGCTTCAAATATTTTTTTCAAAAAAAATCTTGTGATTCTTGTTATTATTGTGCTTAGATTGAAATTTAAAACCCGATTACGTACATGATTTTGATGGTAATAACTAGGTGCGTTGGGTCGTTGGGTCGTTGCGAACCATTTACAAATAATGTTTGTTAACCTTAAAGCGCTACAACAACTAGATGATACGTATTATTGTAGTACTATGATAAAATTAGAGTTTGGATCCAGTTTTATTTTTTATGGTATTAATCTCCTAACGACCAAGGTTAACAACGGATAACTAACTCATGTTATGCTTCATATGATAGAGTATTATATTTATAATATGCTTACTGTGCTAATATAATCATTCAAGAAATTTTTGCATTCATTTAGCATATAAATAAAATTTTCACCCTACCAAAAATTATTCTTATCTAATTCTTCAAGGTTCACTGCATTAGCGCCACGCTTTATCTTGTTTACTTAAGGAATATCTATATACTAAAATCTTTAGGATTAATATATTTGCATACGATTTTTTGGGACCGTCGAATCGGGTTTTAAATTATATATGCCAAACACAATTCCTAAGTCTGGTAGGCAATAAATTTGAAATCCGATAACGGTTTTTTCTTTTTGCGGTACTCTAGTTCTTACTACAGTCAAACCTCATTATAATCACTCTTAGTATGGTCACAACATTGATATAATTACACTATATTTTGTCTTTAACTATTATGAAGTATATAAAATTTGACATTACAACTTTTATAATTATCAGATTTTTGTTTCCCAAGCTGTTGATTATAGCAAGGTTTGACTGTATATAGACCGTCATTTAATGACGGGTCCTAATATCTAGTAGTAGGTAAAAGATTTAGCAAAATAGCTATCAGCGGGCCTTAGCTTTTAAAAGTGACAAGTTTTATAAGATTATGTTCAAATAATAAAAATTTCATTCTAATGTGAGAACACCCTTTATTTATAGAAAGATTTCACATAACCAAATTACAAATCAAATAAGATT